GAGAGAGAGAAGTTCCCCACTCGCTTTCGGATGTAAAATCCGCCTATCTTGGTCAAACGTTCGTGCCAAAAAGTAAGCACGGAAATATACTGTGGTGTTGGCCGATTACGAGAATGGCATCGTGGCTCTGACGGTTCTATTCGCGTGCCGTTATGCTCGTGGATTTCATGCCCCGAGGGGATTTCCGCCCTAACATTTCGCCTTCGCTGTAAACAACCGCGTACGATTATATCGTTTCCCCTAAACGTTTCTCTACTCAAAGTATCAGGCCCCTGTGAAAGATTCCACCGTATTTCCATACCAATCAAACAGGACACGATCATTGCAATGACTTCCTCCACTTTTGATATATTCAATTTTGAAACAACTCACGTTTCGAAGATTATTAAAAGAGATGGTAGTCTCTTCAATCAATGACATCTTTCAGTGGTAATTTAGATTTAATCGAAGAACATCTCGGAATGGAGATTTCAGACTTGAAAAGTTCGAAGAAAATTGTCCTCAAACAGAATGATTCGAAAGATAATGCCCTATTGATCTTAAATCAATTTATGTAAAAATGTTAATTACAGCTAAATTATATATAGCTCACCTTTGATGTTTTTTTCTGCTTAACTATTTCGGTGCTTAGAATTAGTAAAAGTCTGAAACTTTAACTCTTTGAATGTTCAGTGCGTGCTAGATTATCGAACGAATGATCTTACAATCAGTAATAAAATAATTGGTTTATTTATCATTTGCATACATATTAAATAAATATATCAAAAAGCATACATTTGAAGATGCTAATATTCTTGATTATTATTATGTGCTCCTTATTCAGTATTAAATTTTTAGACTATTGGCAATTTTAAGCATAATAAGTGTTAATACTGAATGAGGAGAAATTAAGAATACATTCATCTTTAAACATTCACTTTTTGAATTACTGATTATTTTGAAACAAATTATTTTATTATTTTTATCGATTGAGTAAGATTATATGAACATTCGAGAGATAAATAAAATTTATTTGCTAGATTAAAAAAAGAAAATGATATACAGTATGTTTCAAACGGTGTCAGCGTGTTCTATAATTAAAAATAAAAAAAAGAAATCTTATGTAAACGTAGGATCTCAATGTTCTATTTAAAAAATTGTAACAAAAATATCAAAACTGTAAATTTATTCGATTAATACACTGCAAACACGTAATTAGTAGCGTGCAATGATCGCTAATAATAAACACAATCCCTCTGATACAATTAAATATTGCCAACATTTCCATACAGAATGAAACAGGAAACGAACTATTAATAATCTTGGTGCTTTTATTATAGCTTCGCAATAATGCAACTACGACCCTATTTATATAACATTCGTTCTTTATTTTTAATCATAGAACACGCTTTTTGGCGGGACAAAAATGAAACACACTGTATATGCTCTTCATCGAGGAAACGTATAATTGTTCAACTATCGAACGTTATCCATAAGAAAATGGATCTCCATCACAAGATTTCCCTGTATATTATACCGTCATACCAACATTATCGGAAATATGTAAAGACTTTACAATAGAACTCTGTTTGTACGAGCTCGTCGAAGTAACAAACAATTTTTACAACTTCACGTAGAATTCTGCTGATCCTCTCTCATTTGCCAGTGATTTTTCGATGAGGTACAAATAAATTACAACTTCACATAGAATTCTGCTGATCCTCTGTCATTTGCCAGTGATTTTTCGATGAGGTACAAATAAATGGACCTTTCAAAGCTTTCGTTCAAGGCTCAAATGGACATTGAAAGATTTCGTTCAATCGGATATTGAGTGGAGTTCTACTGTATTAACAGAAGATGAACTACATGCACTCTACGTTGACTACGATTTCATAGGAAAATGGAAGAAGAGAAATTGTGGAATCAAACAATTGTGCTTTCTTTAGCCAACACTTGATGAAAGGTTCGCTGATGAAACTAATAAGCATTGATTATAATTAGAGAATTTTTGTGATAAGTCTACTTAGTCATGATAAAATAAATTAGTCGTAACATTACAATCTAAATGAAATAAACGTGGTAGTCATGATATTGCGAGAAGAATATCGCCAAAAATATAAACCTAATAGAAAGAGTACCAATTGACTAGATTAGCTAGTTGGCCAACCTAATCTTGTCTCTACCTATTTATAGGATGATTTATTAGTTGCTACTAATACATGCTCTATTATTGACAAAAAAACGTGGCATTGTTGAGGGACTTGTGATTTCGAGTACATACTGTGAAGCGCAATAACTATTGCAAGCATCGAAATTTATAAATCTCGGAAGCTGTGAAATGATTGTCGAATTGCTAATTAATTTTCAGCAAATGTCACTATTAGTAGACCGTGGATTTCTATGCAAATTTATTTATTTATTTTGTGAACATAATCGAGCGCCCGCTAAAATTGCCAGATCGTCTCCAAAACGAAAAATGCGAAACGTATAGCAAATTTAATGATGCATTCATCTTGAATGCCTGACAAATACATCTATTCATCCACTTTGAAACCTCTAACAAATAAACTAATTATTTTAAGCTTTTCAGATCACCTGCGCGATACTCTAAATACTCAAAAGATCAAAGGGATTGAAACCGTATGGGTAACTTGTTTCGACCAATTAAACATTATCTAACGAATCTATGCTTTGATTATTTTACATACATTTATACGTTACGCAACATTGGATTTCTAAACTTCAAAATTCTAAAAAACATAAACATTTTAAAATCCGTCCATTTTCGTTTGTCTTTCTTCGTTCTTTCATTTTCTTCATCCTTCGTCCGAAGGATTTTCTTTGAGATCGAGATAGAGATCAATGCTCCTTTGGAATATCAGTGTACAAAGGAGAAGTGAATGCAAGGAATATCAATGTGCAAAGGAGGAGTGAATGAAGATGAAGAGAGGGGTATTAAATTGTTATTCCAGGGCGGACTACTGGAAGTCTCAGGGTCGTAAATTTTGCGACTTCTGCAAGTGTTGGATCGCTGACAATAAGCCCAGTATCGATTTCCACGAGGGTGGTAAGAAGCACAAGGAGAATGTTAGCAAACGGCTCAAAGAAATCCACAAAAATAGTGCGAAGCAGGCGAAGCAAAACAAGAAGATCGAGGACGACATCAAGAGGATGGAAAACGTACGTTTCCCCCCCCCTTTTTTTTAATTTTTTTTTATTTTTTTGGAAATTTAAAAAAAAAAAAAAAAGAAACGAACGTGTAAAACAGCTGATTTGTTCCCCACAGGCAGCTATGGCTGCGTACCTGAAGGATGTCGAGAACAACACGAAAGACATGACCGCGGAGAGAATCATCAAAGAGAAATTGAATCGGATGGAAACGAAGGACGTGGGTACACGATATATGACCTGCGGTGAATCTTGTTAATAGGCTGCGAGTTTCTTTTCATAGGAGATACCTAAAATGCCAAATTTGCAGTGAAATGAACGCACGTAATGTGAAGAAATTGTAATTTTAATGATTTTTGAATACGTTGCGAAAAATCATTTGAACAACCTTTTCTTGCTCGAAATCTTAATCTACATTGAATCAATTGTTTTTTAATATATTACAACATTTTGAACAACCTTTTCTTGCTCAAAACCTGAATCTACTACTAATTGAATTAATTGTTTTTTAATATATTAAAACACTTATTCTACTTGGTAGAAATATAAATTTTATTTGTATACACAGCTTTCTGCTATTCTTCTTTATTTGGGGACAACATAAACTAAACCTTGACAAAGTTGAAA